TTCTCCACAAGTGAAAGAACAATTTAAAATGAGAACATGCATAGGATTTTAGGGAATAAATCCTTAAACCAATTTGCTTGCTTGCCACCACAAAACTAAAACAATTATTCTGAAGATGATGAACTTGAAAACCATTTGGATCACTGCCAAGGCAAGCACACAAAGCAAGAGCCACAGACTCAACATTCAAACGAAACTTAAAACGAGAGAAGCAAATAACCAACTTGAAAGAAGGTAATCTTGAAAAACCAGGGATGAAATGCGCTGACGAAGAGAACCTGGATCTGATCTCCGAGGCAAAAGCCAAGCCCGGAGAGAAATCCCAACCATCCGCAAATGAGATATCAGCCATGGAGAAATCATGGAGAAACCAAGAACTCCACAGTCGCCCTCAGGAGCACCACGTTTGCTTTCAGGATCGCCTCACCGGACATTTCGGATCCCTCCTCTCTCTTTTACATTTTGTTGTTAATTAACAATTAACTTGACAATACCATAATTAGTCTATTTTTACCATAAATAGCGAATGATCCTGTTCGAGCTTCCAATATTAGAATAACAACCTGGTTAGTTAGACCAAGCTATCTTTATAAGCTATTTTAGAATTATTTAGAGAGCTTAAAAATTCTAAGAAACAACTAGGAAGCAACAAGTTTCTGAGAATATAAAAAGGCTGGTAGGTTCTCCAGCTTCTAACTTCAGTTTATTTAGTTTATTTTTCGAATAATCCTACAACTGCGTAACAACAACTTCTCAAAATCTAGATGAAAAACTAAATTGTTTAGAAAAGCTTTTTGATTCTAGAAGTAGCTACGGCTGCTAGAACCTCCAAAAGGCCCTTTATCAGGCATGGCATGGATAAGGTTATCACTTATATTTTTAGAGAAACCATAGTGCACTGCCCCCTGCCATCCTAGATATTTTACATTTTTCCCTTTTAAAACTTATTTAGCAATATACCTTTGGAAAAAAAAACTTATTTGATGAATGAATGCCTTTTGCGGTGCTAGTATCATTGCCGCCATGGTTCAACGTGATAGTGTCAATGACATTGACACCATCCTCCTTACCCCTTGGCGGAAGCAAAGTCACTTATGTGCAGGAGGTCGGCATCAATAACACTTACATCGAGAACCTATTCTGAAAAAAAGAAAAAAAATCCAAAAACAGACTAAAATATAAACAAATTGAGCGAAGGCGGCCACTTCGCGATATTGTGCCACATTTATGCCGAGGATCCATTTGTAAATATTGTTGTGTTATAAATACGTCCTTTTAAAAAAAAGGTATAAGTAGATCATCGGTGTGCCAATGTTTTTGGCACCGATTCTCTTCACAATAGTGACTTAGTGTTCGAGGGTTGGTTAGGGGATGGCAATAATGTCTTTGATACTGTAATATTGGATCAGGGTGCTATACTGATGCCGTGAAAATGATACATTCCTAGTATAAGTTTTCTCATAAATGTATTTCTAAAATAAGTTTTCTTTTAAACTAAAAAGTAAAAAAAAAATCCTGCCATCTCGTAGGCGCCTAATAAATAATGGTCGAGGCAGGCAGGTTTAAATGAGCAGTGAATTGATTCTCGGCTGCCAGTCAGGGGGACAATGCACCAGGGAATTGCAGAAGGTCGGGCCAGTGGACGGTTTGCGGTTGCCGCGGCCGTCAGAGATGGACTGATGGACAGCTTAAAATTTCTAGTCCAATTACGGTGCTTCTGATCAGCATGTAAATTTATATGGAAGATACTTGTAGCAGAGAGTATCACTGCTAGCTAGTCCATTACAAAAATACTCCAACCGTCATTAGTTACAAATGGTTCCTAAACCATCTCAGCTGATGCATCCCACGTCTTCGGCCCCTCTCATGTCATTTTTAAGTAAACTGTGTAGACGATTCAAAATTAAAAGAGTGCTGTTTAATTTTCCTTGACCCATGAACAATGCACCACTGTAACGATTGGCCTCGACCATCTGCTGTGTTGGGGAGGAGGGAGAAGTGGTGAGGGTGCTCGTGCCTTGGCAGAAGGCTTTGAGAGGACAGTGGCGTAGCTAGGATTTAAAGTAAAAGTGGTCCATCTATATATAATATGTCAATTAAAAGGGTGGTCAACTATATAATTTTTACTATATTAACTAGCATATATACTATAATTTCAAATTTTTAGGTGGTCTGTGGACCATGGTGCCACCTAGCTGGCTACGCCCTTGTGAGAGGAAGCCTCTCACTGGGAACTGAAGGTGCCTTGTGTAGCCCGACGCCACATCACGTCTAACAGCGGTGTCATTTCACCATCGCTAAGAGCAGGTTTAATAATATCGTCAACTTGCTAGCTATAAAATAGCCACATCATCTATAGACCGTTAGTATAGACTGCTCATATAACAATGGTCTTTATTACTATCATTTGTGGTAACAGCTAATATATTTTTTAATTGATATGGGTTCCACTAATTGCTGCTACTGTTGTTCTAAACCAATCTCCATCAGGCTTATTTCTCTTTCTTCATTGTACCGCGTGCTGCAGCCGGCGATAATTCTATCGTCGACTTGTGTTCTCTCTCTACCATTCCCTCCTCGAGCACAGTAGTGAAGCTGACGTGGTCACATTATCACCGTCCAGGTTGGCCTATTAGACATGCTCTAAGGTCCTTGTTCCGAGAAAATTCACTATAGTTGTCACCGCTTTGAGTAGATCCACCACTAGGTCCATTGCTCAGAACGAGGATGGAAGGTTCCAGATTTTTAAGCTCGAGATTGTCGATGACACAGGGGAGCTTGAGACCATTGGCAATATGGGAAGCTCGAGACTACAACATCATCGGAGAAGCGCTGGCCCACCACCTAGAACTGTGCCATCGCTAGTAAGTCCGCTAGCTAGTCCGCTGCCTCGATCTGCACCACCACTAATGGGCCTGTCGGTGTAGGCGTATCCCGTTGATGTGCTCCATTGACAAGGATCTGCATTGCCAAAGAGGGGAGAGGGAAGACCGCAAGGATGGAAAGGGGAGTGAGGTGGGTGGAGAGGGGAGTGGGAGTGAGAACTGACTGATAGTTTCTCATTTTTGGGTGTTCTGTGTGTGAAATGTTTATAACAAGATATCACATAATCATATTCCAATAAAAAACATATGTTTCAAGCTATTAAAACTCAATATTTCATACGCTATAGCGACATGTTTCAGCGTGTGTTTTCACCATGTTTCACTAAACTTACGCAACCACTTGCTCTAAATCTCTTCACTGCCATACTAATTTCTTCTAAACTACTTATCTGATCTATGATCCAATTAAATCATTAATTTTGCTGCAATTAATTCTTTACCACGAGATATTACATGATTATATTCTAATTAAGGAAAAATATATGTTTCAAACTGGTAAAATGCATTATTCCATACATGATAGCAACATGTGTTTTCACTGTATTTCACAAAATTTTTAAATGTTTCAATTGCTGAATTTTTTGTTTCATCCGATGGTCCACCGCTTGATTTTTCTGGAGGGAATCAGGCATTCGATTTGTAGCTCCCTTAATTTTTTCCGTTATATGTGGATTTTGCAAACAAAAGAAATTATGATGATTGTTGGGGGGAGGGCGGGGGTAAATATAGTTATTTTATACACAATTTTTCTTTTCATTTTTGGATAAGTGATTATCTGGAGTGATATGTACAAGTATCACTACCGGATTATTGAATTTTTATCTGATCTTACTTAAGACTAGATTTTGTTTTACTTATGAAGTGAGCTGAAACCCAGCTGGTTAGGTTTCTTGTGGTCGATCTTGCAAACTTGGGTTCAAGTTTTGGATTTGGCACATGTGCTCGTATTTATGACTAATTATTCTTTTACTTTTAGTGGTAGGTACGTCGACAGAGAGATGACTGTGGAGGTGCTCATAGGGATAGGGTTTACATGTACGTGCGCCAACACTTATACCGTGTATGTAACAATATGTTTTACTTAACAAATTTGTTCTTAAAAGATCGAAAAAGATTGCTGTCGGCGTCCGTGGTAATTTCGTAAATATCAACCCAGTCCTTCGCGGTGCTCATAGGAATCGAGTATGAGTGTATACACGCCAGCATTTATATTGTATTTCTAAAGAAAATGTTTTGAAAAATGTTCTTAAAAGCTCGGAAAAAATATTCTTAAAACATTTGTGGTAATCAAAATAAAAAAAGTGAAATTATTTTACCTCTAGATTAAATTTTGCAGTAGCCAATAACACAAGAAATAGATGAGATAATGGGCAAACCCAATGGGTCGAGAAGGCAAACAAGTGTAATTTTACCATCCAATATTTGGTACCTCGAGGTACTTTCTAGTGTAAAATATACTAGAAAGTATTTTGAGAAATCAAAATTTTATGTGTAAAATATGGTAACTCGAGCCATGCGTTCCTTTCTCCCGCCAGCGATCGGGGCGAGACGGGAGGAGGCGAGGAGTCCGGTGAGGTAGGCGAGGAGATGGATGCTCTGCCCGCCGCCCTACCACCCTCTGCCATCCCTTCGCCCCTCCGCCCCTCTTCTCCGCCCACGATCCGTCGCTGCTCCTCTTCACCCCCGCCGCCGCCGCGCTGCTCCTCTTCTCCACCGTCGCCGCCGTCGTCGCTCCTCTTCTCCGCCCGTCGTCGACGCTCTGCCTGACGCGGCACCGCATCGCCCCACCCCGCCCAGCGAGCTCGGGCATCCCCATGGTGCCAGAGGAAGAAGAAGATCCTATGTGTGTATGACATGTGGGGCCCGCTTGTAAGCGGGACTAGTTATTTCAAAAGCCCCAGCGGTTGAACCAAACAAGTTTTTCCAAAAACCACAGCCCATATTCCACAGCTGCTTTTCGAAAAGCCATAACCCACATCTACTTTTTCAAAGACTACAGCTCAACCAAACATAGGATAAAATTGCTCGGCAAACAAAGTTCAGTCATACCGACGCCTCGTGGGTCGTGGCAGTTATACCCGGCCCGGCCCGGCCCGGCCCGCAGCCGGCTCACATCTGAACCAAATCGTGCTCGGTCTCCGTCTCCACCTCCGCATATCATCCTCCGCTTCGCTTCCGCTCGATCGATTCCTCCCCCCCATCACCACCACTCCTCCGCCGCGTCGCCGTCGCCGTCACCGACAAGCCTCGCCTCTCCTCGCCGGTTCGCCGTCGCGGCCGCCTCCTTTGTCCGCTCCAGCGCCCTCCTCGGCCCGGATCGGCCCTTCCCCAGGTGAGTCTTGACTCTTGACAGTCTGACTGACTTGACTGACTGGTTAGCTAGCTAGCCCTAATCATTCCCCCTCAAATCTTGATTCCTCGGGGAGTGGGACGAATCTTGCTGGGCGATGGATTGGCCTTGCTGGTCTCAGGAAACTACGTAGTTTACTGCTAGTGAATCCCTCCGTTCCGTGCCTGTGTGGGCAAGGCCAATCGATCCATGGAATTTCAGCTAGCCTATGATTGTGTTTGTGATTGTTCGTGGTCATTCCAAGCGGTTCTTTGCTGGTATGGCAACTATTCTGTGTGCTTGTTTGTTGCTGGTATGGAGTAGTCTAGAACTTCCGTCAATTCCTAGGCTGTTTGACCTGCAGCTATATCTCCTTGGAAAATCTGAGTAAATTTCATAAAACTACGGATACTTTGACCAAATTATCGCAAAACTATAGATTTAAGGTCATATATATCATAGAACTACATATTTAGCAACACATTTATCACAAAACTACAGGTTTAAGACTAAGTATAACAAAACTACATTTTTAATGATAAAATTATCACAAAACTATAGATTTTGGGTCTAAATCCTTTGCACTAATGTTATGCTTGAGTTATAAATGTCCAAGTTTTGTGATTAAATTGATATTAAACCTGTAATTTTGTGATAACTTTGTTACTGAATCTGTAGTTTTGCGATATTTTACCTTAAATTTGTAGTTTTGTGATAAAATTAGTATTAAATCTGTAGTTTTCTGATAATTTAACCGAAGTATCTGTAGTTTTTGTAGTTTTGTGAAATTTACTTTCATATTCGGTCTAAGAGGTAATGAAAAGGACCTGTGATGTTTTTTGTGGTCCTTGTATTTGGACATGCTTACGGTAGATAGCTATGCAGATTTGCCGGGCTAACATGTCAAATTGGTATTAGTATTTTCAATCCGTTACTTATCAGTATGTGCTCCCCACAACCAAAGAAAAAAAAAAGAAAGTTATCATTATGTGCCTGCGTGGTGTTTGGTCAACAGGATTCAGAGTTTTTTTTTTGAACCATACATTTTCACTGTTTTTGCCATTCAATTGAAATTACAGTACGCCTACTGTTAGATGAATTGCTTGGGTAATTGAATGCATTTATGATTCTGTTTTTTTGGGGTGTAAACTCATGTAATCTATGAATCAGTTCTTAAAATCAAAGATCTTATTGTGTCTTTCACTTGGTGGTGATTAGAAAGTGAACACCTTACTTTTAGAAGGCTAGTATAAGTTTGCTGTCAGCATATTTTCTTTCATTACTTGGGTATACATGACTTTAACTTGTAATAACACAATGCATATTATGATTTTGATTAATAAGGAAGATACTAAAAGAAAGGAAGAAATGCATAATGGATACGTTGTATTTTCACACTTGATTCTTTGTATTTTCCATGTAATGATGCACCATTTCTTTGTCTAACTTAGATGGAGAGGGCACTTGATTCCTTGACGTACAAAGGCTCCATTCCAGACGCTATCCTTCAGTCAAGAAGGGATAACAAACTCTTTGTAGTGTACATATCAGGTCAGCTTGCTAATCCTAGCAGCTCGTTGTTATGCTATCTACCTTACTAATTGTCTGATGATATCCATGATTTATGCTGCAAAAGTCAAATATAGGAGGCAAACATTTTATTTTATTTGGAACAAAATTAGTGATGCACAATCAGACAGATATTATAACCTCAGGTTGAAATTAGTCATGCTAATTACTTTTCTGTTCAGTTATTCTCTAGATCAGCCAAATATTAATTTTCTCACGAGACTTGTTTATTCTGATTCAATGGGGAAATTACTGGAACACTAATAATTTCTCTTGTTAACTTGGAATTGATTTGCACTGAATCTAGTACATGCCCAATTTGCAACAACATAACAAAAATTCTTTGCATGCACTCTTTTTCAAAAAAAAAAACCAGAAATTTAAATTCAAATTTCAAATATGTGAAATTTGTCTGGTTTAGTGAGTTCTGATCTTAGACATCAGTGAAGTTTGGGAAATCCATTAACCCCTGACCAGGAGGTAAATCACATTCTGTAGAAACAAATCTAATCCTTTTTCTTAAAGGATAGCATGAGCATGTCTCCTATCTGGAGGGGCTTCTAACGTTGTATCTAGAGGCAAATGAAAGTAAAACCTATTGACAGTATGCAATTCAACTAAACTACTTACTTTTCTACCAAAATAATTTTCTGTTGGCGCATGCTGCAATATGCAGTACATTATCCCCTTATGCAACACAAATGTGCATTATAGCACATTGTTCAATACCTCTTATGTTGTAATTGACAATATGCAGTACATTGATCAGTCCAGGATATTGACAGAACATCATATATTGCTGCATTTCAGGTGAAGATGAGACTTCGAGTAGTTTGGAACAGTCGACACTTGTTAATGAAAGTGTAGGTTTCTTTCATAATTGCCTGGATAATTCTGTTTTGGTGAAAGTCCACTCTGGATCCTTCAAATTTCGTTACAATTTTTTTTCAGTCTTAGCTTTAATATCGATTAATTACATCCCTCAAGTGTCAAATTATGGGGTTTTTTGGGGGGTTGGGGGAGGGGGGGAGGTGGGGTTTATTACGCACCGAACACTGAGGTTAAGGGTAAAAATTAGACTCCTAACAGGACTGGAGGGACCAGAGATGGACTTATTTTCTGTGATTGTTATATATTGAAGTTACCAAGTTGCTCTTGTGTCTTTATGTATGTGCACAGGTGGCTGAAGTGATAGGCAACTGTTGCGTATTCCTGCATCTAAAACAAGGCAACGTCGATGCATCCCAATTTTCAGCTATATGTATCCTTTGTACACATGCATTTTTTTTACTGTAACTTTATGTTTGCTTTGGATTGGCCAGAGACAATTCACTCTTGATTTTACACTTCAGTGCCAAGGGGTATTAGTGCTTGTCCTGATTCCGATTTAAAATGAATGGGCAGATGTCCTTGCATCCATTTTAAAAACAATTATTTGATGATGTTCACATTTGAACTTCATGCCATAATTTGTTGTGGTGAAATACATTTGTTTAACTTAAAACTTTAATTGCAAGGGTATCTTACTGACATCATGGATTGTTAGTGCTCCGATATGAATAGAATGTTGAAACATTTTGATTTGATTATCATTTGCTGATGGTTGAATGTGATGAGATAGGTTCATCATATTTTCTTATACAACAGTAGAACTGCATCATGATTGTTATAACGGTAGAACTACATGATAAGCATTCAATTATATCCAGGAGGTTATCTGTAAGTATATGTTATAACTTTATCTCATTTCCATACTTTACATTTGGTACTTAAAATGGTTAATCAGGAGTTAGTTCTGTTATCTTGCACAGGAAATGTTTTATTATCTATAATCACGAGTCTTATTTGTGCGTGCAGTTTTATCCTTAACATACTTTTTGATTAGATCCACAGAAGGCTATCCCAAGTATATCTGTCATTGGACAGAATGGTGTTATGCTATGGTGTCATGGTATGAATACTTCAGAAAAGTAGTTTTAAAGTTTAGCAGTAGAACCTTTCTTTCATAAGGTCAAGCTATTGCAACAGTGCTATTTTTTTTTTTTTTTGCTTTTCTTAGAGGGATACATCAGCTCGAAAGATCTGAAAGAAAATATTGAGAAAGCTTGGGCTACCCTTCACCTGCAGGTACTCCATTCCAGAAAAAAAATTGACATTCAATTGTGATAATTTATTTATTTGTTTTCAACTGCTACTTTTGAATACCACTTGGCTAGTTCACTTCACAATGGATTTTAATACATGATGTTTGAGTAATTTTTTTAGTAAATTTCACAAAACTACTGGTATCTTGCACAATTTATCACAAAACTACATATTTAAGAGCTTGTTTCACAAAACTACAGATTTAGTGTCTCCGTTTATCACAAAACTACATGTACTTTGTATAATCGATCACAAAACTACATATTTAAGAACTTGTTTCACAAAACTATAGATAGATTAGCGTATTCATTTATCACAGAACTACACATTTCATATCTTCATTTATCACAAAACTACAGGTATAGTGTCTCCGAATGCTAAAACCTGTAGTTTTGTGATAATGAAAACACTAAACCTGTGTAGTTTTGTGATGAATGAAGATATTAAACCTGTAGTTTTGTGATATATAATGCAAAGTACCTATAGTTTTGTGATAAACGAAGACACTAAATCTGTAGTTTTGTGAAACAAGTTCTTAAATATGTAGTTTTGTGATAGATCGTGCAAAGTATATGTAGTTTTATGAAATTTACTCTTTTTTTATTAACCACTATCTGTTTTTCTATTTTATGTCCAAATGCCCCACATATGTTTTTGAAGTTATTTTATACTCTCTCCATAAGGCTTTATTGAAAAAAAAATGTTATCATTAAGTGGTTGAGGTGACACATCCGTAGACCTTCTTTTCTTTTATGTATATTCAAATTGCAAAGTAAAATTTGTTAGATAATAGAAACATATGCTCTATGCAAATAAAGGTCTAGTGAGACTTGTGAATTACCATGTCAAATGCTCCATTTCCTTTCACATCTGGAAGCAGCAGATGAAGAGGTGGCATGCCTATGAGTTGGACACTGTAGCCCACTGGTGAGCTGGGGGCAGCAGTGTGTGACGAGTTGAGTTCTCCTCTCTATGATATGCTGCAGGCATTGGCCATGAAATTGGTGTTTTTTCTGTTGTATCCAGGCTGTTTATACCTTCCTTCAAGCCCAAGCCACTGATTAGTCACTGCATAAGAGCAAGTTTAATAGTATAGCCAACTAATAGCTCCAATTTATCTATAGCCAATCTAATAACTCATTCATACAATAGTTACATACTACACTATTAATACCTGGTCTCACCTGTCATACACACATGTGTCTTGGAGTTCGTGCTACAGCTGGCTATACATCTGTAGTCCGCTGCTCTTCTCTCTCCTCATTTATATCCTTAAAATATGTTTGCAGCTGGCTTATAGCGTGCTATTGTACCTGCTCTAAGCTGACTTCGTCACTGTGGCTGAGGAATTGCCGAGTTGGCCTGTCTGACTAACTTGCCACCTACTCCCTCCATCCCAAAATATAAGTATTTCTAGCATTTCTCGAGAGAGATTAAGGATGAAGGGAAAAGACTATGATGCCTCTCATTAAACAAGGGGTGGTTGAAGAGTGGGAGGGTGAAGATTAAATGAGTAGTGGTTGGTGGGGGAAGTAGTACTCTAGAAAATATAGTTATATTTTGGGATAAATTTTGAATGCTAAAAGTAACTACATTCTAGGACAGAGAGAGTAGTTCCAAATTGTGTTGCAGCTAGATTCTTGACTAGCTGGCAAACCTTTTCTGGCTTCCCCGGCACTGATCACATGTGTTTAACTTGTAAGAATCCTGTTTAAAAACCACCTCAACGAAGCATGAAATCATGTTCTTACAGCCTGCCATTTCTGAATGTATCGAATTTACTGGTAAATATCATAAGTTAAAGAAAAGAAAAAAAAGAGTGGTTGTTTGCTTTTTAAGTAATTATGAGTTAGTTACTTGGTTGTATGTTTTATGTACTTCCACTAGTGGTTTAGCTCCAATAAATATGACCTGTTGTCAAATATTGCAGGGTACAGCAGCAGCCTTTCTGACTGCATCACTTGCTTCAAGAATGACTGAACCTGTGAATACCACCCCGACCACTCTACCTACTCAAGGAGGCTCATCTGCTGCAGAGAATCCCTCTACTTCATCAAATCAATCTACAGGAACTTCTGGAGCCAGTGGGTTTGCTAATCCTACTGATTCGGTGGCACAGCCACCTAGAAGCACAAGCCGTGATGTATGTTTTCTCCCATTTCATAGAATATTATCTTCTCATTTGAGGATTGCCTTGTGCATCTTATCACTTCTTTGTGCAACAGGAAACTCCCAGCATAAGTGAAAAAGAATCCTCAAATTTGGATTCAAGTCCAGGTAATAGAACTGTTCAAGAAAGGCCAGATTCAGATAGTGCGCAAGTTAAAGGTTCTTTGCCTGATCATCCAAGGAGCTCAAATATAGAAGGTTGTGCAAATCCAGTTCAATCAGGCAATACAGCATCACTAAAACAGAAAAATAAAGTGGATGATGGTTTCACCAAAGTTTCCTCAGAGTCAGTTCCTACCAGAGTAGCTAGTAGAGGTAAATCGTCAAAGGTAGCTGTGGATCAAGACAAGGCAACAACCACTAGCACCCCTATTGAACCTGCCCCTGTGAGGTCAAATGATATTCAGCTGGTCGTTCGCATTCCTGATGGACCTAGTCTGCAGATTAAACTGACAAAAGATGATAACTTAAGGAAGGTGAAGAATTTTGTGGATGAAAACCGTGCTAATGGGGCTGGATCTTACGATCTTGCTATGCTTTATCCAAGAAAAGTTTTCACTGAACAAGGTACTGGGTCTTTTCCTTCACAGTAAGATTATCATTTTATTCTCTATTCACTCAAAGCTTGTTGGCTGGGTGGACATTGCAGCCAAGGCATGGATGGATAAAATAATGTCTTTTACTCCTGGAACTTGACAAGAGATTAATCCTATGCCATTCTTTACTTCAATGAAATACTTTTAGCTGCCATGTTTTTGCATTGGTGCTATTCTATTCTCATAATATCATTTTGGTCAAATGATATTCTATTCTTCGATGTTTTAGTAATTACAAAGTATCCTTCCTGCTCCAGCAGGACAATAAAATGAAATTGGCTTAGGACATCAGACATTAGTAGAGAGTAGACTGACCGAAAAAGAAATGTGAAGCATGAAAAATGCGGTATTTATTTTCTTAATCAGCTGGAATTTTAGTTCATAGATGATCTTTGGTTTTGTTGGATGATTTGATTACATGACTAAGTTATAATTTGTAACTCAAAGATGGAGTGGTGGTACTACCCCCATAACATGCATTTCATATAGACATGGGACAGTAACCTTTCTAGAATCATTACACCAGATGTTTTTATGCAGTACTATGAAGTTTGCACATGCTTCATTCCGCTTGTTTAGTTTGTTATCGTATTCTTGCTTCATTTAGTTCACGGATTATCAATCAGAAATGTTAAGCTTCCTCTATGTTTGTTTTTAGCCACTACCGCCTGCCTTCATGTTCTTACACATATATGTACCTATTCTTTCTTACCCCAAAATGCTGCATCCGAATTTCCAAAGGTTATTTGATGAACTGATAGGAATTAAGAATAACTGCAGCTTGTAAGAAACTTTTGAAGTAGTTTAGTAACACATTGACTCAATTTTCACGTTTGCAATGTCATTGTTTGAGTAACATTCCTTTGTGATACAATTGAACAAATTAACTCTGATTTTTCTTGTCGCCTGCTAATAATATACTATAATGATTTTGAAATATCTTATATGAAAAACCCGCGCATATCCTTTAGACCTTTACAGCTGAAATACATTTCCTATGGTGCTCAAGTGTTCTGGGCTTCAAAAACAAACCATGCTCAATAAGCCGTAAACAAATTACCTGGACGTCTACCAAATAGGCTAAATGATGCACTATCCTATCTATCCAATCCAATGTGTGGAGATTGATGTGACCTTTCAAAATTAACCAACATCCCATCTTGTCTCTAATAATTTTATGTACTTTGTGCAGATCTGAAAGCATTTTTCAATGGATAATAAACATCCAGATATGTAATATATGTAAAAATAAAGTTTGTAGCACATGTTTAGAGCATCTTTAGAACAAGCTTATCAAGTAACCTTCATTTATGCATGTAATTTGCTCCAATGATATCATTTGTCAAATATGGCAATTCTATAAGCATGTTGAGTGTTAACCTTTTCGGTTTCTGATTGGAGCATTTCATTCATTTTGTGTTACTTCATTGACTGTTCTCTATGTTTGGACTGATTATCAAAATTTTATTCAGACATGGAAGCCACGTTGCATGAACTGGGTATTGAAACCCGGCAGGCTCTCACTATTGTTCCACATCATAAAACCATTCGAGCAGCAAAGCGCCAATCATCATCATCACCCCATGAAGGGGATAACAATATGGATGCAGACAGCTCAGGTGGTTCGGGATATTTCGGTTATCTGAGAACTGCCCTATCGTTTGTGAATCCACTGTCCTACTTGAGAGCAAATGCTGCTCCATCAAACCCTGATCAGTTGGCAAATCAGGGGTCGCCACAGTACAGTATGTTTTCTTACTCTTTAGTCTCGAATTTCTAAAGATGAGGTGTTAACGATTCCGTGGAGTTTCACCTTTTTCAGCCTTGCTATTCATGGTTGCTAGTTCAGAAATGTCTATATTTCCATGAAACAGGACCGAGCACTGGACCCTGGAATCGTCCTGGAGAGGACACTGCTTCGGAAAGCCGTATTCCTGATAGTGCGAGGCAACAGGCTGCTAGGGATACTAGCTCCGGGAGCACCTTGAGGAGGCGGCCGAGACAATTCGGTGGCAACGTTCACAGTTTGAGAAGTGATGACCAAGGCCCATCTGATGATAGGAATGTTTACTGGAACGGGAATTCTACAGAGTTCGGAGGCGAAGATAAGAAATGAGAGCTGAGCACCGGCAATATCATGGCAGAGTTAAATATATACTTGGACAAATAACACGATCTAGGTAAATAAATACAAACAAATTTGAGATGTTAAATTCAGTGGTACCAGTACCACAACATAGACTTCTAGTGTAAAATGATAATACATCTGATGATTGGCTGTGATGGTTCGTTTCCGGGAGCCGATTCTTCGTCAGTTTGGGTAGTATGGAGAGATATTTTCGTTTGCATTTTGTCTGTGTTTTTTCTGGTCAAAAGTTTATAATGTACTATACTCGTATGCCAGTAGGGAGTGCAATGGTAATTAATAACCTGTTGAAAGTATAATCCGCCATCGAAAAAAATACGTGATATTGACATTGTATTAATGTTCTCTACCCAGTCATAATGTAAATGGTAACTCTGGCTTGGAACTAGGAAAAGGGGAAGAAATAATATCCGTAGCAGTGGCCTTGTGATTTGTGAAGCACACCAATGTTTTTTATATCTTAGAGCATCCGCAATGGTTATTTATAGGCTCTCTACAAGAGATCTATATCAGTATATTTTTCTACTTGGAAGAGATTAAATGGAGAGAGAGAACAAAGCTATGTATTAACCTGGAGATAATCTATAGAGAAAAACGAGGCAATGGTTTAGAGAGTTATAGATACTCATGTAGATATACTATTGAGGTGATTTACTATTAATCTAGTCTATTGCTGAGATGTACATGTTTTATAGAGAACACCTTACTTTACCATTGCGGGTGCTCTTAAAGCGTGTGTTAGGGGGTACACTAACGTCTAACGGTTGTGTTTATGGCGTGCGTGTATGTGTGCTTTTTATATAATCCCTCTGTCCCATAATAAGCACAGTTATGGGTTTCAGTGTTCAACTTTAACTATCCATCTTATTTGAAATATTTTTATAATTAGTATTTTTATTGTAACTTTTAAATTTTTTTTTATAAATTTTAAATAAGACGGATGGTCAAACGTGTTATGGCTGCATTTATGATGGAACGGATGGATGGAATATTTGTTTTAAAACCAAAACACTTTTCAAAGTGGTCAGGTAGGTTAGGTTATGTCTGCGTGGTTGAAGCCTTGAAGGGGTGGCGCCCGCCGCCGTGGCGGGAAGAAGGGGTAATATACGGCGGCGTAAGAAGCAAAGAGAAAAAGCCCAAACCAACCCTTTGATGTGATGGGCCTCGTTACGATTTTCTTTTTTGAGAGCTGCCTCGTTACGATTTGCTAGCTGTTGCAAATCTTCAGAACTAACTGGAGCTAGGACGCATAGAAAGTTCGATTATGACACTCCTCCAAAATCATTTTTTCAAAAAAAGAAGATAAAAAAGAAAAAGAAAACAAATATTAAATGCAAAACACAAACAAAATTAACAATACAGATGAAACATCATCACTATTAAGTGAGGTGTGGAGACAAGGATACTGGAGCTGACGCTGCAGGAGCACAAAAGGCCGAGTTTTTTTAGTAACCCAAAATGCAAACTTTACGATTCCGTATATGTAACCCACAAAGTGAATTTTACCTAATTTACATATAATTTTTGGCATTGTGCCATGCATATTGACATACACTACTACACAAATGACTTTTATGGACAAGCACCGCAATAAACTACAGGCTGGCCATAATCGACCATATTTTCACACACAGCTCCTTAAGAGGTCTGCATACAAAAAAAATTATTTTTGCATATGGGCCTCTAAACATGCGAAATAAGCATATTTTCATATGCGGGTCTCTTAAGTGATCCGCATGTGAAAATCTCCCCACCCCCTATTCCAACACTTACTCCTCCATTCTCTCTCTCTCCTCCGCTCCTCTCCCTGCCTCCTCCTCCTCCTCCTCCTCCTCTCCCAACCTTCTCTCCCCTCTCCTCCCCCAGACGATAGGCACTGGTGGTGGTGGGCGGGGGTGATGGCGCGCGGCGGCCCCCTCCGCCCTCCCCGCGCGAATTAGGCGGCAGGCTCGAGCGGGAGGCTAGTGGAGAAGTGGCCCCACACGGATCCAGCGTCGGCAAAGCGCTCACGCGAGCACTCAGGAGGTGGAGGGCTCGGGCATGGGCTCCGGTGGCCCTCCCCAACGATGACGAAGACCCTTGATGGCTATGACCTCGACGACGACGATGACCCAGGTGGAGGCAGCGGACTAGGGTTTTGAGTGACGGTGCCGAGCAGGGTGTGGTGGGTTTCAGGGCTAGGGTTTGGATTTTTTTTTTAATTTTCTTTGTGTTTTTTTCCGTGCGGGTGCACCACCCGTACAGAAAAATGATGATTTTTGTAGACCCCTAGGTGTAGGGACCTATTTTGGCCCGCACTCGAAAATCTATTTTGGCTGTCTGACAAAATTGTTTATGTATACTAGTGATATATGTCAAAATTTCACTGAACTCTGCTACTTTTCTTCTCTCTCTCTCACTCTAACTGATAAATTTGTTATCTTAATTAGTTATGAAAACGCTCATATAAGCTTCCAAATATAAAACGTCATAATCCAAAACCACTTTAATTAGTGATTATATGTTGAAAAGTTCAGGATGGTTGCATTCTATCTGGTTTTAAAGTCTATGGTGGTAACAACCTTCGGATTAGCTATAAATGTGTCGCATGTTTTTCATGAAAAAATAGTCCGCGTATATTTATGTTGTAAGTCTCTAAATTACATATGTAATTGCACTAGGTTTATATTATAATTACATTTGACATTTTTTTTAAAAATGCATCGCCATATTTTTAGATAGACCGAATAAACTTTCATCCGAAACTTACGTGAATGTGTTAATACAGATTGGGTGTAGTGAAGAATCAAGATGCCATGTAGAACAAAGAGGTGCTGGTCTGGGCCTATTTACAAGCGAATCCGCTCTAACTCTTTCCCTTGAACTTTCCAAAATTGTTAATTATTAGAAGTCGTAAGTGGTTTGAACTTCTCCGCCTCCTCTTTTCTGTATATTTTGCTGCAGTGCCATAATTACTAAACTAGGTCCACTGGTTCTATATTTTGTTCAGCGACAGTCCATTTGTCACATGAACTTATATATAGCTAGGGCAGTAATAGTTGTGGGTGATCTATAAAAAAACCTTCGTCCAAGCAAGTGCTTATACAAAATTTAAGGAATCTTCAATTGGATATATAATTGCACAAATCAATCTGAAGAATTCTAGGCACATTATTGCAGCTTACTACTTACATTCACATGCATTAATTGTACACATTATATTGTTCAAGGAAAAGTGAAAAACTGAACAATGAATTAATATATGTCTCTTTAAGATTCTCTCAGCATATATGCATGTACACATGCTGTGAACTTTTACTATATATAGTTATTCTTTAGGGACATAATAAAAATAGGCTTTTTAGTTAACCTGAAACTAGCTAGCTAGATTGACACATTGGTATGACAGCTGGTTAGGTGACAAACAAGGGACATTTTGTAAAACTAGTAAGGGAAAAGACATTAATAATCTATCCATCTGGGTATCTTACAACATCACAGCTTAGAAACAAACATAAGCAATTTTCCCCTTTTTCTTCAAACCATGTAGTCAATTGGAACAATGCGCAGCTCAAGCTTTCTGGGAAGGAGAGCTAGGACAAACAACAACATTACAAGAGCTACATTCTTCAGTGAACTATATATTTATATATAGTTCTTATACCATTGTGCAAGCATGTAATGCCTACACATTAGGCACTTACACAAAGAGACAAACACAAACACGCACTCTCACACACATATATATGCCCCTTTAGGAATTGATACTTATCTCCCCCAATTGCTATTTTATATGCTAGCTAGCTTCTGTGTGCCTTCCAAAGAGGTAAGCTAGTGCATGCAGAATTGATCACCATATTATGTATATAGAAGGGGACTTTCTCAGTTAGCACCCAACAATTTATACATATATCATCTAACACACCTTCTTCCTCCACAGCCGTTCTCCCTCTGGCAGTTGAAGAAGAGCGCGGCGACCGGCGAACCGAGGTTGTAGAGCTCAGCAAAGTCCCTTGTATTGAAGTTTTGGCGCCACCCTGGTGCATAGGTGGTCTGCCTGACTGACTGCCTGAATAGGATGAACACGAAGCGATGGATGCCTGCAGTTGGGCGTGGGCTCTCATAGGGGACAATCTCATTACCTGATGACACATACAATATCAACATTTAATTTCTGTAGTGGTGAAGATTTTATGCTAAAAGATGTTATAAACTTAGATGAATGAAAAATTTAGGTTATGTTATAACTTAGATGAATGAAAAATTTAAGTTAATGTTACAAAGCAGATAACTCAATCTAATATATTTGTGGAAGTAATATATTATTTTTCATCTTTCCAAACATGGATCAAATGTGTGCAGCACATGATATATACCATGTTTAATTAGTTTCTATGAAGCACAATATAATCGAAGATAGGAATCATGTTCTCTTTTCATGCCACTGTTTAACTGTACACCTATTAATTTATTTGTGTGGCAAAAAGAAACCCTTAGAGACACTTTAGCTTTTGTCGGCGCCGAAAACCAAAATATTTGATTAGGTAGCTTGAACAACTTGAACATAGGACAGAGAAGTCACATGACATGCAGATAAAATGGCATTAACAAGAGTCAAATCACTTACCAAATCTGGCATCAGTGGTCTCTGGAATGTCTGTCACCATCCTATATTTTTGCATCAGATATTGAGAACTAACAAATCAGTACTATGTCAAGATGATATAAATATTATACTCATGCATGCATCTATCAACAACAGGAGCAGCACACCGCATGCATGCATGCATGTAAATAAAGTGAAGGGGGGAAATAAAGGGCCTGTGGATTGCCACTCAAACGCATGCACATAAAAGCTACATGGAGCTTACCAATGAAGGTACTCTCTTTTAGTAGGGTTGCTGGGGCTTGGTGCATCAGGGTCCACCATTACCTAGCAACAAGATATATAGATGTGTAGACACATGTGAGATGAATCTCTCAAACACTCTAGATATTCTCATAGAATGAGCACTCATAAAGTCTATGACAAGCTCATGTTGTGTGCATAAATATGTTTTGATCATTGTTGAGCATATACAATAATTCTTATATGGGAGCATGCATATACAAAAAAAACAAGTAAATATCACAAGGAAATTGATACATAGGAGTTGAATTAATACCAGAAATAATTTTGGTGATTGGGCAAAGGGTAGTGTGTGTGTGTGTGTGTGTGTAGTCAGTGGATGTGATCTAAAACATTGCAATTTACCAATACTAAGAGGACGGATTAGTTAGTATTGTCTACTAAAGGACATATTAACAAAACATGCACATGAACTAAAGACGTCAACTGAATGACATATGCTTTTATTTCCATCTTATAATATCAGGGAATATAGTGGACACTTTATTTAGGCAATATGCTGGGTTGGTTCCAGTAAATAGTCAAGCTAGAGAGATGCCAATTATATCCATTAATTAGGACTACTCAAAATTCAAGTTTTATAAAGAAAAAAAGAGACAAAGCCTAATAAACCATAGAAGGCCAATGATTTCAAGAAAGATGAACCTATTGTAGCAACAACTTCAACCGAACTATGTATCACACTTACAAGCGTGTAGAGCGTCCTCATGTCGCGACCTTCGATATAAATCCTTGGTTGGTTCAACACCTGAGATGGCTTGAGCTCAGACCCATTTGTCATCTCCTTGCTGTTGTAGAAGACCCTAAGCGAAGCGGTGGTGACGAACGGGTCCACGATATCGCCGACGACATGACCGACAACCAATGGGTCCCTAGACATGTTGATCACAGAATATGATTGGGGGAGAAACTGAGGATCAGCTGGAGATCAGTAGCTAGAGCTTGCTGTGAGATGAGATAGCTTAGCTAGGATGAGAGCTCTCAAATGTTGCTTACTGTGAGGGCTTTGATGAGATGATGGAGTGAATGGGGGTGCCTATTTATAGAGGAGATGGATGATATATACTACTACCAAATGATCAATAGCTGAGACATCCTGATGAAAAGCTAAATTAAGTTTTGCACTGTATTTTTCCAGGGCTCTCGGAATCTGCTTTTAGGGCAAATAAGAATGGATTTGGGTGGTTCTGGCAAGAGGTTATGAAGCTCTCCCTTCTCCATCCTTTAGGGTTAGTGCGTCCAGGCATGCACAATAGACCCATTTGTATGCTCTCTCTTCCGATCCATTGGTGAATCAAATCTTGACGACGCCGTGTCACTTATTCGCTAAATCTGGACCCATTTGATGCACTTCAAGTATAATAAGGTGAAAAAGTTTGGTCACTTTTGACCTAGGTCCCATCAGGCACGACGGTGCATGCGCTACTAGCTAGCTACATATCATATCAGCAGCTAATTAGTGAGAGCTCTAACTGATGCATGATCTCTCTGCATCAGCTAGGCCAGCATGCAGAGCTAGTGATATGATGATGAACTAAAGGCAGAGAAGAGTCGTTGCCTCATGGGACAAGTAAGCTAAGCTAAGCTAAGCCACAGTTGGAGAGATTAGTACCCTTTGGCTTTCCTTTTGGCGATCTTAGTTTAAGCCCTAATTCAATTCGGTCTGACATCACAGACGACGTGACTACAATTTACAACATGACATTCTCTTTTTCCTTGGCACTTTTCTCACTCAACTGGGTCACAGCATTGGATTCGATCAGCACTCCATGCATGTAAAAGTGGATATGATGTGCAGAAAGCTTTGGTATATAGCAGCAGAATGTATGGTGCAGTGCATAGCATGCATGTCAATGAAATTCAGCCATGGAACAATGCAAGAACAGCTCTTGAGAAGATTTATATGGTATATAAATTTTCAAGGTTTATTATTCTGTCTCAGAAACACACACAAAAAAAAGCTGGATATAAGAGGAAGGGTTCTCATATAAATATTTATTAATTAAGAGATCAATGGGGCTTGAACTCCGGTCGGCTAGCGCACCTTGTGGTGCTAATCAGAAGACCCCTAGGCCTTTCGCTATCTCAGAAATATAGGCATGTTCATGTATAGATTGAGAGTTTTATTTTTCTTCGTGTTACATTATTTTATTTTTTGCTCCCTGCCTCTAATCATGAAAACATGTCTTTTTTTTATTACCAACATAATTTCAAAAAAAAAATACAACTTTGGCCACTCATTTTTATCACAATTTATCAAGAAAACCTGATAAAATCACAATTTTAATTATGACAATATTTTTAGGTAAATATCGATCGTCACGCCTTCATCATACATTCATATAATATAAACATTTAACAACATGGTGTTCAAAGTATTCAAAGTAAATTGAGTTAAGACATGTGCAAAATGACATGTTGCAGCTTGGAACAAAGTCAGGATATATATAATCCCACACAAGACACCTTTTCTTGTGAAATATTGTTCCTTGATGACCAATGATATGAACGAGCTATTTGGTAAAGATGGTTGGCCAGCCCACACCATTCTCTTATACTAATTTGCATCTTGTAGAGATTTAGGACAAAATATAATGTGCATCTTGGCAAATGAGATTGTAGAAGAAAGTGTACTCCATCCGATCACAGATTGGCAATGTTTTAATTAGGCCATTTCTAGTGGGAGGTGTTATTTTTACGTTTTCAAGGGTGCCATATAGGTAACAAGATATGTAATTGATAATTAAAATAGCGCATACAATACATTGTTTGATTTTGTTGTTTCATAAGCAATACACAATACATGCAAGAGACAAATTGTATTGTAAACAATATAAATATAGTTTCATGAAGATAAAACTCATTAATTCCTTCATTAATTCCTTGTCACATCATTAAAAATACTGACATGGCACCCTGTTTAATGAGAATGAAACTACCACTTGGAGTGAATCTGTCCCAAGTATTCCTCTGGTAAAAAAAAAGTATGTGTTTTAATTAGACATTATTCACACGGTACTAAAATTACAATTTTAACAATTTGTAAAACTAATAAAGGCCCTGTTTAGTTCACACCAAACTTCCCCCCAACTCCCAACTTTCCATCGATCACATCACATCACATTCAAAACTTTCCTACACACATAAACTCCCAACTTTTTTTCCAAACTACTAACTTTTCCCAAACTTCTTCTCAATTTCAGGAACTAAACATAGTAAAATAATCTACAGACACATACACAAGAGTTTTCATACATCTAAAATCTAAATATTTTATAAAATAGTAATGTTCAAAGTTTTTAAATTAGTCTTGGGAGCATGTCTAAAACGATAACGGAATAGTTGTGCGTGATAGTTGAATTCTGGACTGTCAATGCAAAGTAGCACACTAAACACCCATCAGATTCATCCCAATTTAGCTAGGATTTCTTGTATCTTAATTTGTGGAGAATAATGCAAATAATGGTACAACACAAATTAATACTACTAGCTGATGTACTAGCTACTTTATTATTAAACAGCTATATATATATATGTTCTTCTAGAGTTAACTTACGCGGCTAGGTTGAACACCATCTGAAGATAAGGTAACCATCATGGTATAAGTTTCCTATAACTAGAAATGCAATCATTTGATGATTTGATCTGACCTATCATTCTTTGCCAAGTCATTCAAGTTTACCTTAATCGACTGCACTACCTTGCGGTTGCTTTGTACCCTAGGCCTAACAAGATGGCATCTTGCTACGTGTAACGCCCAACAATTATCCATGTGTCAATATTAGTTAATTAATATAGGATCAAGAATAATGATCTGTCGGTATTCTATGAAAAATGTTGGCCAACTTTGAGCAATGGATTAACTAGGCAAGCAAGCTACTAATACCCTCCCAGATTCTGCATTATTGTGCATGAGTGATGGCATTTGCATATATACGAAAGGGACTCAACTGTAGTTAAATTATCAGCAAATTAAAGAGAGAGATGCCTCCATCTTCCCTTCAAGAAACAGGCAATAATAGATACTGGCAAAACTAATGTCTTTCTAAAGTGTGATTAATCTCCAGTACAGTTAGTACTAGTAGGCGCGCGCGCGTGTGATGCACTGTATCTGGACGAGTTGTTTAACTAAATTAATTGATGCACACCACTGATCATTGGCATGAGCATGCCATGCATATGATCACATACTAAACCATCTATTGGGCAGTTAACTAATTAAATTACCGCATGGTTTAATTAGCAGGAGTAGGCCGGTGTGTGTGACTAACTGTGTTAGCTATAGCTAGTTTAGTTAAGCTTGTCTAGGTACTGCAAAGGGAAGATACTTTGGGGGGTGATTCAGTTAATTGCATTTCATTAGCTTAAGACCTGAGATCTCATAGAGGACACAGAATATTACTCCACTATTCCAAGTTGAAACTTGGCCAACAGAATTGAGCAGGCATGCTCTGCTGCTTCCTAGCTTCATACAATGTATTGTTTCTCTCTGCAGCTTTAATTTCATCAATTAATTGATCACCACTTAGGTTTATATTCTTCTGTGCTCCTTTAATTCCTATCATCGCCCAGCCTTTTTTGAAAACAATTAATTTTGCCCTTTGGTTGTATATATATTCTCATACCTATCATCATCGCACTATAAAAACTAAGCTAATTAATTATTAAGTGCTGGGGTGGTGATGTTGCTAGTAGCTAGGTTAATATGCATGGCTACACAAGTCTATGGATGGCTAGGTTTTCGACTTGTATGGACCTTTTCTAGAATCATTCCATCCAATATATTCCGAAATGATTATCCTAACCATGCTTATAAAATTGGTAAATCTGCATATCAAAAGTCGTGAAAGGCTGAAAGCCATTAATCAAGGGATGCCTTAGTTAAGCCCTCAAGTAACTCTACTCCCACTGTCTCTCTCTGCTTCATTCTTAAGTAGTGTTCTCCAGCAGGTAACAAGATCCATGTACTGAGATTTCTTGAGATTTATCTTAAGGCTTGTAATTAGTATAGGGTGGTCCTCTTCTCTGTGTGTGTTGAGCATATGCATGCATGAGCTTTAATTTAATTTAATTTAATTTAATTTAGGAGAGGCTAGCTCTAAGCATGAGTTCAGCTCAAATGATCTCATAACATGGAAGTGTGCATGCGTTGATAAAATAAACTTTGGAAGCGTCTCTCATCTCGAGGCAGAAGCATGCTTCTCGGCTACACTAGATAATTGCATGCATGCCAACCACGGATCGGTATATATATCTATATATATGTGTGTGTATGTATATATACAAACACACACAAATTTATGCACATATGAGTAGTGGTCCTATATCTAGCAAAGCTAAGCTACCAATTATATATATATATATATATGTATATATGTATGTTTGTGCATCGTTTATATAAACTACGGATGCTTATGTAAGATTGATGCGTATGTGATTGGTTTGAGAGTCCAACTGTCACTTTTTTGACAGGTTTGTTAGAATTTTTATAAGCTAAAGCAAGATATGTAAAGTAACTGATCATAACAGTTTACTTTGTTTATTGCTACATCAATGTGGTATATCATCGTTAACTAGAGTTAACTAAAGGGTTCTGTTTGGATCTCGAGTTTTATCAAAACTAGATTTCTATCAACTCCTTCAATTATATGCATAGAATGTAGTTGTTCTGTAGGTTTAAGTAAGCCCATCACAAAAAAAATATTTTTTTTCTTTCGGTTGCTTGCGGGATATATGGAAAAACATAATGACACACATGATATATAGGTTCAAAGTCTCGTAGTGCACTCGCCATAATTTCATCCATGTGGAATCAAATACGTTTACAATAATTCCTATGTAAGGTCCATAATATGAACTCGAAGTTTGCAATGTTTTATGTGCTTTCCCACTATTCCTAACATATAGAGATGCAATCTACCTTTGTGTAAAACTTTGGGCGTAAGTTAAGTAACTTGCATAGGCGTGCATCTCATCTCTGAGGTCCAACATCTTAGCAAAGGTTCCTGGCGATGGCCCTGAGGTGACTCATAATGATGTGATAGCACCAATTGAGAAACAAACCATGCTTAGTGTAGTTCTATAAGTGTCGGCTATTGCACGCTAGCTACCTAAGTTACAACCCTGGCCGTGCCAAGATTCTTTTTCTTTTTTCATCTGCCGCAACTGTGAATAAC